GGTAGCGGTCAAGCGTGAGGGGGTCGAGCCACCTTAAGCATTGGTGGTAGTTCTGACTGCATTAAAAAGGACTGTCTGGCTAATTGAGATAAACTTGAATACAACTGATTTCCAATATCCATAAATAAACCCCATTAGAGCAATTAACAAAAGCTTCTTTTCATGTTGTGTGACTTTATTTAAGCTTATTCTCTTAGTATTCAGCTTACATTCATTTTTTGTAAGTTTTCTAACCGTCACATAACAATATAATGACGAATACGTTTGAAGATAAACTCTTTAAGCTTTCTGCTTTTGTTTCTCAGACTCTTCAGAGATCGTACTGGTATTCTGCTGGGTTCACGATCATGTSTACGTAGGTTTACATGAGACAACTGATTTGGTATAGCATGATTTTATAGTCAGCGACGAAACCTTGAAAAAATCCGCCATTGCTCGTCCATGTGCTTATGTGGCGCATACTACGCATGCGCATACAATTTGCGCATGCGCTTTGAACGCAACTACGATTTGTGACTGAACGCAAAAAAAACAAAGCCCAACTTATAACTCGGGCATTTCTTTGAAAGCCCGAGTAAAAGGCAAATTTCTAGCTATCATTTGAGTTGAGATAACTCATTTTCGTGTGAAAATCTTTGTACTTCGTAAAACAAGGGCACAAATAGTTAATAGCTTTACCTTTAAAATTTTATTCATTTATACGAGAATATGTATGTAAGATCGTAAAATAGCTAACTTACTTTCTGTGTTTCCATAAATTTTTGACAATCTTCGCGTCCCTTGTTTGTTTACATCAAGTTTTATCTGGGGAGCTCTTCAGTTCTCGACGTCCAGCCGCAAATGAAGAGAGTTTTGCATTTTGTCCCTTAATGCTTCACGCGCTGTGTCCAACCACCCCTCCCCCCCGGGTACTTGTTTGGCGGGAAAGTAGCACAGGGTTCCCAAACGGAAGTAGGCCTTATGATAATGATTATTTGCTGCAGGCGAGCATGGTTGTTTCAGGTYCCACRCACGGCGTATAGAACAAAAAGCGGGCGAAAAGTGTGTGGCTCCCCTGTTTTAATAAAACTCGCGATGCTGTTGGTGTTGTCATGAAAATAATAATAATAATAATAATAATCACGATGGCTCTCATAGGGGGGGTTGCAACCCCCAAAAACCACCCCTACCTTAGATCCGCCACTGCCGTTACACCAAACGTAGCACTCGCACATAGCTTTACCTTCGAATTATTTATATCAAAAGAATCAAGGAAATATCGATGCAGGCTGCATCAGATAAAAAATAGACTCCTAGACTAGAGGAGAATACTATAAAATGAATATAAGAAACATAAAACCGTGTTTAATCTCTTTAATGAGAACGAACTAAAAAATGATTTACGGCATTCAAGATAATTCATCGGATTTACGGAGAAAAATCAGCGAACAACAAAGACAACTTACAGTCTTATCCTACAGACTTGACAGACTAATGAAAACAAGTTGAATAACATTTCTGAATATATTTATGAAATATACGCTTAGTTCACAGTGTAAACAGTTTCTCAATGAATATAACGCATCATGTGAAAAGTCAGACGAGACGAGAAGGTCAACATGTAAGAAGATGTAAGSAAACGCAGCGCTCTTGTCAGCACAAGCTAGGAAAATGTATGGCGATGCTTAAAAACCTCAATAAAATCGTCAAGATGTGAAACAAAGAAATCTTAGTTGACCTTTAAAAAGTAGTATCTCTTTTGCCCTGTGTAATTAGATTTTGGATTTAATCAGTTTTAATGTTGTTTTTTTTCTTCCACCGTTGAGGATGCTCAGATAATCAGTTTTTTTAAGTGATAAGCCATCAAAAGCTACTAAACGCTATTTTTTACATTCTTAATGTGAACACGTACAGCATCACTTTCAGACCTCGGTTGTATTCTCTAGTTTATTTTGCTGATAACATGAGCGCACGTCCCGATATAAAACTGAGAAAAATAACCGCAATTGGAATATTTTTGCCTGATTAAAAAATGATAAAACATGACTTTTACACCGCTCGGAAATAATGCAAAGAATTTATATAGTATCAATATTATTAATGTTTCRCTAATCTTCTTATATTATATAGGGTAATGTAAAAGGTCGCACGAGAAAGGAATTGGCCAAAACAAGGTATGTGTTATGAACAAGAATAAATCAATGAGCCACACCTATGAGTTTGGAGAACCGATTAAAAGTTGACCCTATTCATGAGTTTAAAAAAAATACAGCTATGACAAAGGGAAAATCTTTGAATTATCCCACTTATAGCGTATAGGGTGCCTAAAAATAAATTCTATAATTCGCTTTGCGAACAGACGAAAGGTAAATGAGCAAACATTCTTTGAGTGGTATTTTTCKTCAGTATGTCGTATTTGCTGGTATAAGCGTCACCCCCGATTAAACTCCGCCATCAAATAAGCCCCGCACCTAAGGCCCAAATTAATAATACGCGCCGCCCCCGAATAAACGCCGAATATGGACCCCCCCAAAAAAATCTTGAACGAGTAAGTACGGCGTCCTGCAATGCAGCACTCAAACTTAGATAATAGGGACTTTAAGATTCGCAAAATCTGTGACGGCGACGTTAACCGGAAGTGTGAATAATTTTCTCTTTGGGGTTCCGTTCATTGGAGATCTCATTCAAAACATTGTCAGTAAMGTCAACTCATCCACAGGGAAGACCTATTTTAAACGAACTCGAAACTCAAAGTGCCGTAATTTACACTTCCGGTAGACGTCGCCGTCGCAGATTTTGCATATCTTCAAGTCCCTAATGAAGAGGACAGTGACATTGACATTGAATTTGAACTTTCTTTTTTAACGTTTGTATTCACTTTTTGATAAATAATTATTTACACATAATGTATATGGTAAACACATTTTTTAAATAAGCGCCGCTCTTGAATAACGCCGAATATGAAACCCAAAAAACTTTAATAAGCGCAGCGGCGCTTAGACGAATAAATACGGTATTATACATTTCGAGTTTTTCAAATCAAAACARCGCAAGCGCATTGGAAACCTATCTATTTTGCTATTTGTCAGTTTGTTTATGCTTTCCACTTTTTCAGGGAGTCCCTCACCCAGGTCATGAATCAAGTGCATGCGTCGCGGTCTAGTATTGAAGAAAGTCAATGCAATGAGACTACGAGTACATCTGGTGACCCTGATGAAGTTGGCTTTAAACGTGCTGTAACTTTCAGCACTTTTGACAATAAATTGAAACCTGTTRGTGCTGAACAGGCAGTTAACAGAGCACAGTCAATGAAGACTGAACGCACAGGTAGAAGCTACAACAGACAACTTCCCGGTGCGACTGCTGCYTCCTCTCCTGATACTGGAAGTCCTCTTACGAAACATAAAAGAAAAGGGAGTGGGGGAAGCGGGAAAGGTTGGTCAATTCGAAGCAAGAGCAAAGACGATAAGGAAACCAGTGAGACTAAAGGCAAGTCAGTACAGTATTTGAACTKCTAGTTAACATTCTTTAGCAAGTTTGGATAATGTGGTAGGGACAGTCAAGAAGACATTACTAACTTTAAGTGATTCTGGCAATTTGTTTTTTTGTTGGTTGACAGTTGATCAAGCGACATCTTTTYCCCCAGTCAACATGCCATGTCAAGAGCAGGTACAAGCAGTGATTGATTTTAATGAAAGTTATGAACTGATCTGAATCTTTCCTTGCATGCAACCTCAAAACATCTACTTTACTCATTTCTCTTTTTTTATGCATTTACTTTAGGACCAAGACGACAATGAATGGTAAATAGATTATTATAAATTAGGGCTATATTAGTAGTGTATATATTTATTTGGCTTTTTATCAGGTGAAGAGCCATCTTGTGGATACTCTGATAATAAACCATTATTATTATGATTTTTTTTTTTTTTTTACTTTTATAACAATATAATTTTTTTAATAAAAGAAGTAAATATATAAG